CATAAATAAATAATAAATATGGTGTTAATTCAACAATAATTTATCCAGAAAATTTATTTGTAACAAAATAACTTAAATTAAATGTAAAGATTATTGAATTAGATTGTATAAAAAAAATCTATAGTAATAGAAACTTAGAAGATATAACGTTTTATATAAGAAAATTAAATTATTAGCTTAGGTAATTAGGTTAGTACCCATATACGAAGTCATATACATTTGTCCATAAATTTTTGACACACTTTGATCGGCATAATATGAAAATTTATTTGAGTTCATTTTACTTTAGGATAATTAGTATTCCTTAATCAACTTTTTAAATATATTTTTAGTGAGTAGTAGGTTTTTTTAAAATAAAATAATCACATAAACGTTTAGAACAATTAGATTTAATTTTCTAATATATGTTATGTGCGAAGTATACTATAACAAAATTATTTTGTTCTTATAAACGTTATGTATAGTTTTAAGATTAATACTCCGTACAAAGTATGCTACCAAATGATTTTTCTTTAAAATTGATATTGATACTATTATAATAATCTTGGAAAACAATATATTCCAATACCTTATTTTTTAAATCTATGTTAGTATTTTTGTAATTAAAAGTTTCCTAGTATATATAGAATATATGTAAAAATTTTAATTGAGTAATATTGGATTAAATATGTTGTCAAAATGGAAATGACTATTATTATAGGTTATAAAATATATAGATGTCATTAAAATATGGAAAAAAAATTAAAAAGGAAAGGGAAAAAAAAGCAGGAAATTTTTTAACCAGGAAATGACAAGTGTCATTCCTGGTTTCTCCTTTAGTATAAGTTATTGATATATATATATGCCATGCACGGTGATCGTTATAGATTATTAATAGATAAATATTATAATTATAAATTAGTCGAGGAATAAAAAAGTATGTGATATGTTAAATTTTAATTGTAGCTTCTAATACACAGTTAAAAATAAAACAGGCAAAAAATCCAAACAATATTTTTTTTTGTTGTAAAACAGATCACAAAATATTTTTAAGAATATAATTTTTGGTTATAGTTGTCCAATTTTCTGTTTTAGAAAAATTATTTGTGAAATCTTTTTACTTTAAATATACTACATTAATATGGAATGTGTACCCTAAATAATATTATTTTTGAAATTGATTTGTTTCCTTAATTAATAGACATTTTTTATATAAAATAATAATAATAATTAAAGACACACCAGGAGATGACACGTGTTATTGCTGGTGTGTCTTTTAGTATATAACTAGCATAGTGCCCGTGCAATGCACGGTTTATATATCAAACTATTAAACCCGTAGGAAAAATAAAAATAAAAACAAAGATAATTCATTTACTATTAAAGGACTTAGTTACTAATGGTCAATAAAAAAAATTAAAGGAACGTTATTTGAATAGTATTTTATGTTATTTGAATTTCTTTTAATTTTTTTATAATGTTATTTTATTAATTGAAAATTAATTGAATAATACTCCACATGGCTATATAAGAAGTGGACTAATTTATTTATATCTCCCGTTGAGAAAAAACTAAAATTTTCTTATCATACCATCCGCATCAGAAACTACAATCAATCTAATATATATACATGCTTTATTTATCCGTCGCACTCATTAAATCTACAGACACAATAATAACCTTATATTTGACCTACTATAACATATATTTTCCTAAGTTAAGCATTGTGCCAAAAACTATATATTATATAATAGTCATATATATAACCAACAACCGATTAAATATAGTATACAACACAAATACATCGTATATAAGTATGGATACTGATAATTTTATGTAAATAAAATATACGGAGTATATATTACTAAGATTTATCCCTACCTTAATTATAAAATGGTTAACAAAACTCTTATAATAGTGCATGGACATTTATATATCCAAAAATGTTCTTTTTACATATATTTTCCCCGATTTAATTTTAAAACCTTAAAATTGTCTCTTGAATTCGCTAAATTGATTTAAAAGGTTATGTTTATTTTAATATTTAAAGCCATTTACTATTTTCATTTCCTTTTGTTTTAATTTTTCTATTTAGAATTTATTAGACTATTAGGTTTCAAGATCAAAGTCAATATCTTTTTACCGTAAAATCACTAAATCAAAGTCGCTCAACTAAAGTTTTGGACATTGCATAGCTACACAACATCCAACACATTTAATGATTACACGCAAATAATTTTAATAAAACTACGCATTCGATATAAGTTATTAAACAATTTAACTATATATACATTTTGATAGGTTTATATCTTTCATATTAACAAAAATTTACAAATGTTGTTATTATATTTTGAAAAAAAATTTAGACTTTGGAGTTTTGTATAAGATAGATAAAGGATAAGTTAATTCCCGTCATATATGCATTGAGTTTTGAGTGTTCTATCCGGTTCACCCTTTGGGCTAATCCAGATTTGAGGATCTGTTTTAGGCTATTAGGTTCCACTCCCCTTCCGATTGTTGTTGCAGGGGAGCGAACACAGGTCCTCCCTACCAAGTGTAGTCTCAATCACCACTACACCAACAACCAAACACTTGGTATGGAGGACACGTGTTATAAAATATTATATTATATACATATACTTTTTTATATTATAAAAAATATTATATTATACACACATACTATTATAGTTAAAAGTATTATTATAGTTAAAAGTATTATTATGTATAAAACAACATAAATTATTGCACATGATTGTTGTATATCTAGTATAGTACATGAGCAATGCACGATTTTTAAATCAAAATGTTAGTTTTTCTAAAAAAAATTCATAAGTAATAGCATTGTTAATACGAATATTACAATTTAAAACACGAGTAATAGTTATAATACATTTTATATCTATCCCTTTTCCGTCAAATGTCTAATTGGTCTAATCATATTGCTTCAAATTAGTTATTATTCTTTAACTTGACTATAAATAAAGATCGGAAAGACTTTATGAATTATTTGTAGTATTGGAAAGTATATATTTATTATAAAAAAATTAAATCAATATTTATGTTAGGAAATCATGAAAATCTTATGCATGTATAGAAACTTGCTTTTATTGTTTGAAGATTAACAAAAATAACTATGCTTGAATATGTAAACAGTAATTATATAGATATATTTAATACTTAAGATAAGCCAATGAGAGAGTGACATTTGTCATCCTCACATTGAGACGCTTGTCTTTTAGTATAATATAGATATTGATGATTGATATATATATATATATATATATATATATATATATATATATATATATATATATATACACACACACTAGTTTTGTGCCTGTGCGATGCCCGGATTGTTTATTAAATTTAAAGATATATTTCAATTTATATGTCAAATTTTAAAACATATCATTGATACAAAATTAGTTAGGAATTGGCGTGTTTTTGTGGCGATTTAAACTTGTAGACATAATGACAAATAATAATAATATTGGTGAAAAATATTTTTTGACCATGTCTGAAATGACTCGTGACCCGACCTGATTGACAAGTCTACACACAGTAATAAAATTATATTAGATTGTGAAGTATATTATTTTAATTGATTAGAATATATTATAAACCATGGATGTGGTACATTTTGAACTAATTCCTTCGCTCCAAAAATATATTATGATACAAAAAATAAATTTATATAATAATTTATGAGAGTTATAATCTAATTTTTTTTGAATAAAATTATAATTCAATTTGTACATATGAAATATTGGTACTTTATAAAAAAATAAAACTCTAAATTAACAATTTCATCCTAAAATTCTATCTAAATTTGATTGAAAATAAAATTCTAAACTACCTTTTTTATCCTACAAATTGAATTCTATATAACTCTATCCTACTTGACACGACACTTAGCGAAAAGTTGGAACGCCAAGTGTCGCTGTCTCGTCGCATTCTATATAACTCTATCCTACTTGACACGACACTTGGCGAAAAGTTGGAACGCTAAGTGTCGCCGTCTCATCGCCTGGCTAAAAGTTTAGCTTTATATATTAGTTATATGATTTTTTATCAAAAAAAACTTTTAAAAAAATTATAGAAAATATACGTAAAATATTTTCTTCCAAAATAGGAAAAAAAATATCATAAAATAATATATTTACCAACTTAGATATCTAACCATATATTTTTTTAATCCTATATAAGTATTTAATTCTTAATGTATAAAATTATTATAGTAAAAAAATTCATGAATATAATCTTTCAATCTAACATAATTATAGTGAATGAAGTATTTTGAAATGTAAAATAAACAATATAAAAAGAGAAAGTTTGAATATAAAATATATTGTAATATACATGTAGTCATAGAAAATAATAAATAGTAGTAGTATTTTAAGTTGCTTGATTTGTGATAAAATAAGAAATAGATTATGGACCAAATTATTTTTATATTTAAATATAGTTTGAATTGATAATACGAAACAAAGATTGAAAAATGGTGCATGCAATGACATGGGATATAACCTAGTATTATAATATGATGGAGAGGTCAAGAAGAAGAGAGAGAAATAATTTATAATGTGAGTGAGGTTTCTAAATTTGAAAATAGAACACTAAAAAAAAAGGTCTTTTTTAGGAAGTGGAGCACTCGAAAAAAATGGAGAGAGTAAAAAACCACTCCACTAGACCAAACACCCTCCCCGCTAGCCTATCCCCGACTCTAGACCGTCCCTATCAACGTTTTCACTCCTTTGGTTTGAGGTGGCTTCGAGGGTGGGGCTGAGGGAGGGAGTCGGGGCTATCGGTTTTTTATTTATTTTTTTATTTATAATAATTACTACCTCCAGTCCAAATTACTCGCAACTTTAGAATATTTTATATCTCACAAATAATACCCCAAAGTTGCGAGTAATTTGGAGCGGAGGTAGTATTACGAAATAAAGGGAGTAATCCGGACAAATTGTACTCACATTGGACCGGGCCTGACAAAAGATTGTTAAACACGTGCTCCCTAAAAGCAACGCCTGTTGTGAAAGTGGAAGGAGTCTCAAAACACTTTTCTGTTTTCTCTCCCCTCCTCCATAGATAGTTATTATTTTCTCTCTTCTCTCCGGTTCGAGTCATCGGCAACCCGCCGCATGGCCGCCTCAAAATCACATTCTTTTCTTTCTCAATCTCGATTTTCCGATACCGAAAAGATGGAGGGCACTGGTAGTTGGGAAGCCATCGAATGGACTAAGAATGAGGTTTTTTTATAATTCTCTAGCCCTAGAATTTAGGATTTTTCTTAATTATTATCATCAATTTCACTTCAATTCTTGTTTTCATGATTCAATTTTCAGCCTCTTGGTCGGACTGTTGCTCATGGATTTTCCAGATTTTTGTTTGAAGCTGAAGAAGTTATTCGAGAGGTTTCTGATTCTTTTGTTTATGAAATTGTATAATTAAACTCGTATTGTGTTATTAATTGTGCCTTTTTTTAATTATTGTTTGTTTGATTGGATTTTTTGCAATGTATATTAATTCTGTTTTTGTTGTTCGGAATTTTGATTATTGTTAGGGGTATGGTGTTGTTCTTGTGAACACGGATGAAGCGGGCACCTTGCTTGTCACTAATTACCGGCTACTATTTGTGGTAAGTGAATGTGATTGGTAATTAATCCGTTTACAAGACGTCCATTAAATAATGATGATTTATTGAAATGAACTGAATTTTGGAGGATAATGGTTGAGATGGGTATATGATCATACCTCAAGGGGTAATAATAGGAATAAAGATAGTTAAATGAAGTTAAAATTGCAGATATTAAGGATACGATTGAGGGAAATTGATGAGGTATGATCATTTGGAAGTTGGAAATTTGCGATCATGGGGAATTTAGAAGAAGTCGTGGAAGGCAAAAGATGACTTCAATGGAGGAAGCTAAAATTGATATTGGATTTGCAGGAGCATATAACACTTAATGAGGAAATAGAGGGGGAGTACCTTTGTCAAACATCAACAGAGAAGAACCCTGGTTCATGCAGTCGACCACATTTTATTGGGTTTTAGGCTTTGGTATTGTTGTCGTTTTTGTTATTTGAAGTGTGTTGGAACTAAGATGGTGTATGAATTGGAGGATCTTATTGAAGTGTAATTTCTTCCTAGTCATTACGATATACAAAGATATAATGAGCTACATAATCAAGCCAGTTTGTGTTGTTTTCAAGTATCTTCTTAGTATTTATTTTTTGACAATCTAGGTGGTCATTAAGTGGTTAGATCATGAAGATATCATGAACATGTAATGTAACCTTTTTTTTTTTATTTTTTTTTTATTGTTTAATTTTTATATCTTATTTATTGTTTTTGTCTGTTCTTATATTTATGTAGCATGCTGTTTGGTGAAGAATCTCAATTTAGGTGCTTACAATGGTGCTGCGAGTTTTATACTATAACACATGTTTCTTATTTGATTTTACTAGAGTGAGAAGACGAGAGACATAATTGCACTTGGAACGATCCCATTGGCAGCAATTGAGAAGTTTAACAAACTAGTATGTTTCAACCATTCCGGGTCTGATTTAATCTATGCATGCATTTAATTTATCACTCTCCTAGAGTCCTAGATATATGAAACTTTAAGTGATTAGTATAGCAAACTGCCCCCCTTCCCTTAGCAAAATTGAAAGTTTTTAGTATATGTATTTCGTCTTTTCCTTACTCTATAAGAGTTCGATATGGAATTTTTTTTTTATTTTTTAAATTTTTTTGTGACATGGGTTTATTTAGTCTAAACTTTGCCTCACTCCTCTCTCTTTAATTATTCCCTTTTTTATGACTTAATTGCTGCATGTAATTTAATAAATTAATAAATATGATTTATAAAAGAAGTACAAATTCTTCAAGCCCCACCCTTTTAAGTGTTTTCTTTTATTCTGATAAGGAGTAATGAATGGATGAGAATCGTTCATGAAGTACTTTAATCTAACACATTCCATGGTTTTGAGTGATCTTACATTTGTGGATGTATATGTAATGTTATTGTTTTTCCTCATGTTTTTTTTGCTTGTGCTTCTCTGCCTAAGAGTTTGTTTAACTGCTTAAGTTGATTTATCCATGGAGTGATCTTGCATGTGTTGATGAACACTATGATTAGATTAAAATCCCTTATTTTTCCAGCATGGTTTTCTCTTTTCAAGACATGTTACATGACTGGTTTAGTTTCTGTCCTTCAATGTTGGTTCACTGGCAAAGGGTAATCTGTGTTATTTCTGATCGTGAAACATTTGTAGTCATTATACTGTTGGTAGTTAATCTTTATTTATGTACCTATTTAAAGTATATGTGGGTCTTAAGAGAGGCAGACCTGTTAGTAATGATATGTTTGCTATGTGAAAACATAGGTTGTTAAGCAAACATCAGGATCACGTCAGTCAGACAAGTCTTCAGCACGACGTCTTCTGCAGGTTTTTGGTAAACTCTCCATGCTCTTTTGCTCCCCTAATATCTAGGTTTGTGTAATATGCTTGACTTGTGGTCGTTGAAAGAAATGCCCCCTCCGTCCTGTAATATAGATCCCACTCTATTTTTATGGTCAAACTTTGAAAACTTTGAACGTTAATTCTCATTGTTATGTAACAAAAAAAAATGCTCCAGTGAAACATTTTTAGATTCGTCTCAATTTGTAGTTTTGTAATATCTACTTTTTACTTCGTATATTTTTTTTTGTTATTTCGCAATTATAGATATTGATGGTCAAAGGTATGTTTTAAGACTATACAGACAAACATGGGATGGAGGGAGTATATGTTTAGAATAGGCAAACATACCCGAGGCATCATTACCCTTTTGTGTAATCATTTCTGATTTCAACTCGCTTCATCTCAATTCCCAAGATGTGCACAAACACACATTCGAGTCTTAACTCTTAAATAGTGTGAAGGGATTAACATAATTTGGTAACTTTACCACTAGGTTATCTCATTGGCTCCTTGCAGTAATGTTTACTGTTGTGTCATCTGTTTTTGATTTCTCTTTTTTGAATTTCATATGCCTTTGGGAATAGAGACTATTTTAGTGAAAGTGTCAGTTTATGAACTTTTTCAAATTTAAGTTAGATTTTGTTATGGTTTAAAGGTGCTAAGATAAGGAAAGTAAATCTTGAAAGACTTTGGCAAATCTTCGACTTACTATGTACTACCTGTCTACCTCTGTTTGTGATAGCTCTTAACACTTTAATTCATCACGCTTGTCAATGTAAAACTTTTAACTATAAATATCACTAATTATGTATATGATAAATTATAGAGTTAATATTTCGAAAATGCATATTGAAATGAATCGTACAAGATGCCACATTAATTAATTTTTCTTACATATAAATTATAAAAAGTAGTTAAATCATCTATCATTCTTCCTTATAAATTATAACAAGTGGTTAAATTGGATTTTGTGAATAATGCCTAAAGTCTAAGTGTCAGGAACTTGGAGGCAGTAGGTATTAAGCTCCAATACAATCTTTCTAACTTTTTCTTCTTTTATTTGATCATCAATACAGGCAAAGATTTAAGGATTATAGTATTTGGTTTCCGAGCTCGAACTAAGCAGGTAATTTGTGTAATACACCTTTTTTGTTGATGAACTGAATATTCCTAATATATCTGTTGTTAGTGCTGAATTATTCCTGTTTGTCAACTCTGTTCATTTAGGCATAGTTTGGTACAAAAGTATCACTTTTATCCAAGTTGAAAGTACTATAGTTTTTCTTTTTGTTATGTAGATTTGGTGATATTGTTGTACTATGTTTTGGATATATTTGCTTACACGCTTCTAATTTATTTAAAAGCTCTAAATCATTTGTTGAATTGGTAGCAAATTTAATACTACCCCCGTTTCATATTTTTTGCAACTTTTGTCAAAAGTGGATGCTACACATTATTTGCAACTAATGTTTTCTTTCCTTTTTAGTTTGTCATTTCTCTCTATCTCTCTCCTCATCACATGCATTCCTATTTTCTCTCTCTATCTTACACTCACAAACAAATTTTGCCTAGGAGTCCGTGCACTATTCAAAGTTGCAAAAAATGTGAAACAGAGGTAGTATATATGATGTTCCCACTATAAATACATTAGATGAGCTGTAATGTCTTTTGCAGCAATGTGTTTCATTGTACCCTTTTGTGAGTTGCAAAAACTGTTGCAGTGGTTGATCTCTACTTATGCCCATTTTAAAGAAAAAAGGTGATTTAAAATGTAGGACTTCCAACCTGATGTGACATAAGTTTATATCTCTGAAAGTGCTAAGGAAGTTTTATCAGCCAGTGATGGCTGAATTGAATAAGAACAGGTAAAAGCTTAATTTACTAGTGGCCTAGTGACATAGGCACATAATATCGATTTGGATTCTTGGGGAAGATAATGTACATTGCTATTTTGAAGAAAGAGAGATACAAAGAATTGAACAAAGTTTAAAGAAATGCAGTTTGAAGGTCACTATGCCCCCATTTAAAGTCTCTTCTTACCACTTTATATTCCTCTCCCTACTGTAGCCTAAGTTGTATTCCATTTCCTTTTTTGTTTTATTTACTCATTTATTTTCTTTTGAGGCGATCTTTGTTTCTCTTACTCCCTCCGTTTCGTAATAAACACGACATTAGGTGTTGCACAAAGTTTTAGGAAAATTATACAATGGGGACGAAAGGAGAATTTTATAATATAAAGTATTAGAGAGAAGTTAAAAAAAAGTAGTATAAGTGGGGTTGGTAGGAGAGAGAAATTATAAAAAATTTGTGAAAGTGGAATTAGTGGAAGAGATAAATAATGAAATAGTGGTGTGTCCTTACCAAATAAGGAAGTGTTGCAATTACTATGAAACACATAAAAGGAAAGTGTTGCGATAATTACGAAACGGAGGGAGTACTATTTTTCTATATTTCTCCTTACCCATGGTTGCATATTTCAGTGTAATTATATACTTCTTTCGTTTTTTTTCCCTACTTGTAACATTTCTGTTTTCGTGTTCGCCAATGCGTAACTTTAACCATTTATATCTTCAATCATGCATTTATAAATATTAAGATTTAATAGATAGATATTGAGACGAATCTAACAAGATCCCATATGACTAATGTATTCTATAAGTATAAATCACAACATGTAATCGAAGTTGAGTATGTGAATAGTGTACCCTATTGAAATGTTGCAATTAAATAAACAGAGGAAGTATTGAGTTTGATGTACTTTATACTTCTACTTCTGTGTTTTTTTCCCGAGGGAGGGGTGGGGAGAACTCAGTTAAGTAAAAATCTGAAATCACTGAGAGCAGCTGGAGCATTTGTTACATTATTGCATTGGCTTTTTAAGGTGATTTATTCCAGTGCATTATTGTATGATGAATGTTGGAATTATATGTTTCTAATTCCTTTTTTGTCCAGTTCATCATTTTTTCTTGCACTTTTATAGACAATCTGAGAAGAGAAATGGTTTTGCTAATCCAAGGCCTCATACTGTATTGAGTTTTAGGACAAAGTCTCTTTATTGTTTTTTTTTTTTTTGGAAATGATGTATCAGACACTCAGTCACTTACCCATAACCTTGTATCCAAGTCCAGGTGACATAGGCTGTGCTTATGTAACTATTATATTTTGTGGATCCTTAGAGCTCTATTATTGAGTAATATATGGATTCCTTCCAATATATGTGTAGGTATCTTGGCGAGTTTGATAGGATTGCAAGTTTGCAACATTTGACTTGGAAGCGGGGTTTAATCTGGCAGTGGACAATGCCTTTTAAGTCATGCTTGTGGTAAACTAGCTCATGTGTTTGGTCTGGCTCTTTGTGCTTTTCACACTTGGATATTTCGTTGACAACTTATTCTCAAAGCAATAGTGCTTGATAGACTTGTTGGTTGCACAAATTCTACTAAATTCTTAGGATTTTATTTCTGGAAGTAGTAAATTAGTAACTTTAGCAGGGCTTTAGTTTGAAAAACATTTAGAGTAGGATATTTGCTATAATATGTCACTTACATCAGTGTGGGATTTTGTGAAGCGTAGCTTCGCTCCTCCGCTGTGGCTGTGCTTTCCCTGTGGGTTGGGGATCGTGTCTTTCGAAAATCCGAATTCAAGGTTGGGGCGAATTCGGTTTTCTCAGTTGCCTTGTCGCGCGATAAATTGTGTCAATCTGGAGTAAACTCTTGTACTGCAGTAGTCTATGATGCATACTATAATTTTCACTCTTTTGATTTGTTTAGTCGATTTTTGCTGTAATTCATTTTTCAAATGTGATCTCTAAACTGTGAAGTATAACAGAGACGTGCAGTTTGTGAAGCACTTTTGAGGTGTACTAGACCGACAAGATTATGGGATCTTTATGCTTTTGTTTGCGGGCCTTCTAAATACTTCGGCAATAATCCAAGGGTCCGGTTGTTAGATGAATATTTTCGGCTTCTTGGCATAAGATCCCACTTTCAGCCATCAGATTATATGATTGATGAGGGATCATATACGTTGTCCAATAATTGGTGGAGAATAAGCAGTAAAAATTCCAACTACACATTGTGTGCCACTTACCCTTTTGCTTTGATTTTTCCTAAATCCATTACGTAAGTATCATACTTTTGCTTTTTCCTTGTTTTATGGCTGTTATACGAATTGTGACCTTCTAGAAGGTATTGATCCATAATTTCATCTTGATGCTAATTCCAGTGACGAAGAAATTCTGCAGGCCTCCACTTTCCGGGCTAGATGTCGTCTGCCTACAATTTCTTGGTGCCATCCCGGTAGGCATTTGCAATAAGTTAGACTATCTCATTGCACTTTGCAGTTGATATCTCTTACTGACTTTAATCATGTGAAAGCATAGGTACTGGAGCTGTACTAGCACGCTCATCTCAGCCATTAGTTGGTCTCATGATGAACATGAGGAGGTAATCCTTCTTTATACTCATGGGTTTAAGTTGTTGTAAACTTTAGTTTTGTTTGAAGTCTACAAAATGTTGCTATGATTTATGCACAGCAATGCTGATGAAAAGCTGGTGGCCGCACTTTGCACACAGTTCGCTAGTCTAAAGGATGGGAGGAGGTGTGTCTGTTTATCCTATAACGGCTATAACTGATATTTCTTTGTGTTAATGTGCTTTAATATTAGATTTCAAATGCATCATCCTTGTTTCCCGGGTCAAAGTTTCTGGCCCTCAGTTTGTCGTGTTTGAGTCAACTTTACCATCTGCAGGCAATATTTTGTTTGAATTTTTAATCTATTTGTGATTGTCTTGAGATTTGATTTCACCATTGTATTTTGTTTATTATAGAAGAAATATTTGATAAATGAGATAAATCATTAAAGAGGTCGTATTCGCATTTATACGATATGTAACTGTAAGGCTGTAACTTAAAAAGGAGTAATTGATGTATCAGTCTAGACCTACTGGGAGATGTTTGATAAATGAAAAATTTAGGGGGCGTTTGGTTCGCAAACTGGTATAGGGTTGGAATCAGGTATGAAACCATAGTGGTATGGGTTTGGAACTTGATTCTTAATACCATATGTTTGGTATGCTTATGGAATGCAATTTTTTTCTTTTATTTGATACCTAAAAGTATGGGAATGAGCCAAACCCACCTCTCCCCAAGGTTTCTAAACCCCATACCTTGGGGGTTTGAGGTATGGGTTTGAAACTCTTAAAATCATAACCAAACATAAGGTATGGGTTTAAACCATTCTAAACCCATACCTTATACCTTAATTATGTGAACCATTCTATACCCATACCTTATAAAATTTTTGTCATGGGTGTTTAATACTGTGTAGCAGATTTCTTTCATTGCATTACTGAGTTCATTCATGGACTTTTTTGGTTTGTGGATTTATGTATAAATATTCGATCTTAGCTTTGATATTGCTTTCTAAGTCAGCTTATGTGTTTAATGATCCCAAATTTCTTGTTGCAGTAATTACTTGTTTCCTTTCTTGTTGCATATATCAATTTCCTTGCTGGTTTTGTAATGTAGTTCTTTATTGGCTTAAAAAAAAAAATTCAATAGGTTGTTTCATTTAGTTATTTTATATTGATTGAGGTAGGAATTTTGTTTTTAGGAAGTTATATATTGCTGATGCAAGACCTAGGAAAAATGCTCTAGCAAATGGCGCAATGGGAGGTGGTTCTGAGTCAGCTGCTAATTACTTCCAGTCAGAGGTTTGTCTCATGATGTCTGCTTTATCTTTCAATTGATGAATTCTTTGATCCTCCCACTGCTGATTTCTGATGTTTTCCCAATTTCTGATCAGATAGTTTTCTTTGGCATAGACAATATACATGCTATGAGAGACAGCCTGTCCCGTCTTAGAGAATATTTGGATACTTACGGAACCACTTCATCTGATGGAATGTCCTCATATCTTGTAAGTATTGATCTTGGTTTTTACTTTCTTGGCTTGAAGCCTAAATTGTCTCTGCTACCCTTTATTTTGTTCAAAGGAATCCCTCCATTCCATTATCGACCACATATTTTCTTCTCATTATCTCATATCCATTTGAAGTATTAATTATTATTTTACATTTTATGTATTAATGCAATATTGGTTTGTAGTTATAAAAACCACTGTAATAATCAACACCTTTAACAGTATTCATATTAGCTGTCAAGAATCTTGTTTTGGATGTCATTATCTATGAAGCTTGGGTATTTTGGTTCATCATCATACCCATACTGGACATGTGGTGCTGCACCAGGGTACCGGACTACCGGGTACTTTGATAATAAAATTTATATGAATTTTTTTTTTTTCAAACAAACTTTGTTTTCAATTTATTCATTTTGATGATTTTTTAATGTCTTTATATATAATAATAATAATAATAATAATAATAATAATAATAATAATAATAATAATAATAATAATAATTTTTGACAGAATTTTTTCATCTATATAATACCTGATTAGCCATACTCATACCCATCCTTGTGCAACCTAGGATGTCATAAATTAGTTGTCAAGTTTGTTTTAATAGACTAGCCTAGGGGATGGGGCATTTTTAGTAATACAAAGTAGTCTATTAGAGTTAGCTTGGGGAAAGGGTAGAGATTTTGTTAGAGGATTAGAATGTCAGAAGGCTATTAGAAAAGGTGATCCGCTAGTGTGCCTTGTGAGGGGATAAGCTGAAGTTAATTGAGTTAGCTTGGGGAAAGGGTAGAGATTTTGTTAGAGGATTAGGATGTCAGAAGGCTATTAGAAAGGTGATCAGCTAGTGTGCCTTGTGAGGGGATAAGCTGAAGTTAATTGAGTAAATTTTAATTTTGTATATTTCATTGATGGGAGTATCAGGCCACTTGAAGGCCTGGGTTTGTAATTCTCCATTGTAATGAAGTAATTTATTTGCAACAACCATTTATATAATGTACCCAGTCCCCATTCTCATCATCCTTCTCATTTATACATATCTAATTTACCAGTATTTTAACATATCCATTCCTGAATACTCCAGTAATTAAAATTTCCTCAAATCTAAAAGATGATTGAATGAAAGTAAAAGTGGTGGTGGGGAGACAATTTGTTGAATTATATTTCCCTTAGTTTTTTTTCCCTCTGAATTTGGCAAACTGTACTTAAATTGTTAGGTAATTATAGTCGTTTCCAGTCCGGCTGCGGTACGGCACCTGAACTCAAAGCTACGATCAGATCCGAAATGATTTGATAGGCATGGCGCTTGTATTGCTCTCCCACAACCCCATTTTCATGTGAGATGACACGCCCCAAAACTCTCATGCCTTTCTTGGGTTATCAACTGATTGAGCAACCGGGAGCAATTTACTTACGACACTTAACTGACGCGAGAAAAGTCTGGAGAAACCTCTGAATTATTTCAATATTGGGATCTTATTGTTTTTTTCTGCTTTGCAATGAGTTTTGTTGCTATGTCATGACAAAGATAATAAAAACGTATGAAGCAGGACCACTGAATACTAAAGGGAAGCAGAAGAGTATGCTCACAATGCTGCTATCAGCGAGAACATACATTTAGTTCCAAATGCAAGCACTTAAGATTCTTGCATTTAGCTGGGTTGAGGAAAAATCAACTTAAAATGCCCCAACTTTCATCAATGGTATCTTCCAATATATCAGAATAGCTATCACCCTTAAACAAACAGGTAACACAATCAACTAGTCAAGCCAGCTAATACAATACCCTAGTCAAAACCAGCTGTTGCAGTCAATTCTTCAAACCAAACAATCAAGGTCTTGATGGATAAACGTTTTAAAATATGAGTCTGGAGTTGAAATATTGAGTGTGTAGCTGTAAATGACTTCAAGTGACTTTTATTTATTTATTTAGGGTTTTATTTATTTATTTATTTTTTGAGTAACTCTATATTTCTTGGCCCAAAGCAAAAATCAGGTCATATCTTCATGTTATATTAGGTCGACGTGAAATATGCCTGGTAGATGACTAGTTGGAATGTTTCAAATCTTGACTGTATTAAGTTATTTACCCCTCTCTGAACTGTTGCTGGAATGACCTAATTACATATACTTTTAAAGTTCTGTAAAATTTTTGAGCTTAATGACTGCTTGTCAAGTATAATGTAATTGTTGATTATGATTAAATTAGTTTATAGGCGTATACTTATACCATTTCTATGGACAGAGACATGGAGGGTCAACGTGGGGGGGTGGTAATCTTAGCAGTATGTCTACTTCAGTGTCAACCCTTGGTGACAGTGGGTGGTTGATACATGTCCAAAGTGTTTTGGCTGGTGCTGCCTGGATTGCTGCACGCATTGCTAAGGAATCTGCATCAGTTCTTGTTCATTGCAGGTTAGAAAATTTTCATGTGATACTTGGATTCTGTCAAGTTTGCACTAATTCAGGATTATGTTTTTGGCTTCCGTTTTATATGTTTTTACTTAGCTCTTTGTCATATTGTTCCATGTCCCAAAAAGATAGTCACCATTCCAATTTAAAGTATCCTAGCACATGGTTAACATTGAAGTTGTACAGTTGATATGTATCAGAGTATCAAATACTGGTACTGTTATCCCTTCATTCCAAAATCCAGTGAAGTAGCATTTTACTGCTGTGAAGGAAATGGATTTTTTGAGTGCTGGCCAGAAAATATATGATCATTAACAGCATGTTTTATAAATGAGATTTCAACGAGAAACTGTCTGTAAATTGATAAAATTGGGAACTCCTTAATTTTAGCTTCTGTGGTTATTGATTACAAGAATCGTTGTAAAATAAGGCTGAATAAATCTGGGTGATGCTGACTGATATTTTTGCTTAATTTGTTCAAGTCTCCCCTCCAATTTATAATGAGAAACAAAACAATTTAAAGTAAAAGTGTATAAATTTTTATACATTTACTTTTTGACAGAGCTCCATAGTTTCAATTATTTCCTGTACTTCCACATTTAAATGGTTCTTAAATGTTTTGAAATCCATATAAAAAAAGAGTATAAGTTGTAGCTAATATAATATACTTCCTCCGTTCCCTAATATTGCTACAAGAGGGGAAGAAATGGAATTTTAAATGAGGAGAGAGATAGAGAGAAATAAATATAGGGACCCGTGTGATGAGGAGAGAAAGCATGTGCATATATGGTAATGTTGCAATATTTGTGAAAAATTTTAAAATGGTAATTGTTGCAAATATATCATAAAGAGGAAGTAATATTTTAGCTTGGCTTGGTATGTTTCCCAAAAAAAAATAAAAATAAAAGAAAAGCTTGGTAGAGTATTCTGTTTATGTAGGGTTTATAAAGAATGGTATCTAAATTATGTAACTAATACTTCCTGGAACAAGTAACTTTGATATAGATTGTTTAATCTTGTGAAATACATGACCATCTGGAGAAACATACTTTAAGGCTTTCTTGTTGTTATTTTGCCATGTATTTATGAGGACACACAATGTGTATTATGTGCTAGTGTGATGGCTTGTAAGTGTTGTGTTTTTTTATGGTGAGGGTGAGTGCATTATATTTATACTGGGTTTGCTGTATATCCTTTTTCGTGGTTATCCTGATAATAAGTGGTGAATTTCTCAGTGACGGTTGGGATAGAACAACTCAATTGGTTTCGCTTGCAAGCTTGCTGCTCGATCCTTACTATCGGACAATTAAGGGTTTTCAGGTAATACTGTGAATTTCCAATGTTTATGTTTCTAATTGATACATTGCAAATCATAAAGTTCTTATTTTGATGTTTAATTTTATTTACTGGAATTGGTGTAGTTTCTTGCTAAACATGCAAACAGGAGAACCTGAGATAATTTAAAATAAAATCATGAGATGTAGGAAAACTGTGAACTAATTATTACAGGGAAGAAGATGAAATAAGGGCATACACTATTTTATGCTTAGCCAAGTCCTGAGATCAATATATTGTTGAAGCAGTTTTTATTTTTATTTTTTATTTTTTATTTTTTATTATTTATTTATTTACAAATTTATTATTTTTTCTATTTAAACTTAAGTATTTGATGCTTTTACCTCATTCTGATTGGTAAATATGGCGATCCTTAAGTCAACTTGTGTATGTTTAGGAATGAAGAACATCTTCAATAGTGGACTTGTCGTGACCTTTTTACTATTCTTATCCAACTTTTATTTGTATCATAAAAAAATTGTGGCATACATTACATATTGTGATAACAATAGTTGACAGATTTGCTAAGTAAAATGTTTCCTACAATCAGTTATCGACACTTGCTGGAGCTATAAATTTGCAGTATTTGTTATTACAGATCATCACTGAAGTAGTCAGACCTGTCACTATTCTAGCTTGCCTAATATCTAGGCTTCTAGAAACTACTGAAGGCTCTCATTTTTGTAACTAAAAAATATATACTTCATATGTAATAACTGGCAATAAAACCTTTAACTAGCAATAAAAACAAGATCTGCAGTCATAATCAAGAGCTTGAAGTAAGCTGGACCAATATATGAATGGAAACTCATGTTCTCTTCACCTGATATAAGCTTTGCACTTTTCAGTCATCTTCTTGTTATAGAACATTCTGCATTACCACCCATATTCAGTTTTCACAATAAGAATATTATGGCTTGTTTTATAACTACTTCTAGCTGACAAGCTTTAGATACTGCTGTATTTCCACTGTAGATAACATAGAATAAAGAGTTCTATAAAAAATAGAGTCTGCACATGTCCACTCTGTCAGGCTAATCAAGACCAACAGAGTTACTACTTCTATGATTTACAAATGAAAATCAATCATCTAAAAACAAAATTTACAGAAAATCAAATGGCTGTAAGCCCCAGCTAACCCAAAAGAATTTAGAAGTTATTAGACTCCTTTCCCCAAATAAAGACTTATCTTATCATATATGCTTGTGTGTGTAATACTCTTTCTGCTAGCTAAAAATCTAGCCGTGGTGTTCTTTGTGTTACCTTTTTTTTTTATTTTTTTTTATTTACCATTGGATTGTCTATGGTCAAATGTTGAAACGTTGGGGGTCTTTGCCAGCTGTGTTTAACACCATAACTGCTTTAGAGTTTGAAGCATAAGAGTTTATATGTTTCAAAAAGTCAATACAAACATGGCCTGACATGTGGATTTTATTTTTTGGTCCTCTATCAGGCACTTGTTGAGAAGGATTGGCTTGCTTTTGGTCATCCATTTTCTGATCGTATTGGTCTCCCAAGTTTATCTGGGAGTGGTACTATGCCTTTAGAACTTTCTTCCAGTGGTAGTTTCCATTCATCTCCTATACGCCAGCAGTCTGGATCAACACAACCTTCTGGCTCTTCACACACACACAGTTCACACAGTTATTCGCCTATTCTTTTACAGGTAATTTTTTACCCATTTCTACCAATAACTTTTGGTGTTATATCTGGAATTTACCTTTTCCGTACTTGCAGATTTTGTATATTTTCCTGTTTATTGCTCCTTTTTGAAAGTTTGTTATGATGTTACAGAAGTTGTTTCTGTATTGATTATTTGCTTATCTTATGTGGCCTTTTTTCATATATATTATTTTTTATTCATTACAATCTTAGATTAAAGAAAAATGAGTCATATTTCATTTGTATGATGTCTGTGTACAGTCAACCAAAAGTCCAAAACACATTCAACTGTTTGGTGCTTCTTGGTACTTGGTTGATAAACTTCAGCTGGACAATTTGTATTAATATTATATGCATGGAAATCCATTTCCTTATTGAGTTCTGTTCATCAAATGTTAGGAGTATATCTATTTGCATGTTGAACAATTTCGGGTCAAATGAGTATATCAAGGCTGTCGTAAAATTTTCTATTGGTTGGTTTATTTGTGGTGCTTGTTTGAGAATGGGAGATAAAATCAGCCACATTTTTCTGTGCCCTGTAGTGTGATTGCAAAATAACTCCTACGACTACGATTCCTCCTTCACCTTTACGTCATTCTAGATATATCCTTTCTTCTGTGCTTTTCCTCCTTTCATTTCTGTTGCTTTATTGCTAGTGTTATCCAGCTTATCCTGTTGTAACGGATACCGATTGTTATTTTAAGTTTAATTATCATCAGCTACGTAATTCTTGATTTTCTTTGCTGCAGTGGGTTGATTGTGTTTCACAGTTATTGCGAATGTATCCTTTCGCTTTTGAATTTTCCTCGGTAGGTTTCCTCTTGCTGTAATTCATACTAAAAGAACTATAGTTTAAATGCTTAAGAAATTTGTAGTCTATTGCTGAAGAGCTGATTTATTAGTTTTTTTCCTTGTCAACTGTAGGCCTTTCTGGTTGATTTCTTAGATTCTGTGCTCTCTTGTCGTTTTGGAAACTTCCTATGTAATAGGTATTCTTCTATCTTTTGTATTTTCTATGAGGCAATGACTGATTTTCAATTTGAGATGGTTTGTTTGGCGTATTTCTTTGTTTTTAGAAAGCCCCTTGTTTTTGAAATCCCCTTTTGATGAACAGCTGATTATCTATTTTTTTGTGCACTGTCCAATACTTGCCACCCCATTAGATACAATTTATTCAAAAAAAAAAAAAAAAAAAAAACCTTAATCCACTTTAATTATTGTTTTGTTTTGTGCTTTGTCTTATTGACTATTTTCTGTGCATTCAGATATTCTACTCCTTTCAAAATATAACAAGCTATACTTTTCTATTAATCCTCCAAAATAAGACCAGTCATTATTATTCTGTTTTTTTTTTTTTTGGAATTTTCTGTCAGCATGACCTCTCCATTACTTGAATATTTCCATTTAATTTCTGGTGATTTGATTTGCTAAAGTGATGGGTTTGTTGAAGCATGAAATTATTAAGGGATTGGTGTCCAATTATATCCGAAAATTTCAGCAATAGAAAAATTTGCTTACAAAGCGTGGCAGAATATGAATCATGAATACTGGATGTTTACGCTGCTCAATTCTAAACACATCTGTTATTGAAACTTTCCAAGCCCTTAAACTGAATGAAATTAGAAAGTTTAAACCTGAAACATTTCTAATGTTACCTGATATTTAAGAACACCTAGCTACAAATGTTACCTGATATTAAAGAACACCTAGCTTAAGCCCTTAAACTGGATGATTGCTCTCTTGCATCTTTGTTCAATTCTAAATTTGCGTTCTAGGTTATAGACCTTATGGTTTGTAAACTAAAATATAAAATGAAGGAATATTGGAAAAAAGCACAACTTTTGCGTTTGGGAACTCTACATGGGGTGCTTGTTTAGGGGGATTGGCTTTATGGGGATCGAAGGTTAGGTTGAGGATGGTGAATTGGTGGGTAGGATTTCATTAATATTGACTCCATCTCTTGTTTGGCTTTATGTGGTATAATTATTAGTTGTAGATAATCACCCACTTTTCCTCTCCTAATTATGATTTTAGTGGGACTAAAGGGGATTTAATCTCCATCCCAATACCCACAACTACACAATTCCTCCTTAAACAAACAAAGGAAATTCTTTTTTATTTTATTTTATTTTATTTTATTTTATTTTATTTTATTTTTATTTGGGAATTGGCAATCCTATCCCCACCCGTTATACCTTTGAATACGGTATAAACGGCAAGGAAGTGGGTAATATGGAACAGTTAAACTATGGGAATGAGTAGAAAAGAAAAGCTATTGAAATTTCTACTTCTATCTTGTTCGATTGTTTAATAAGATGAAATAAGAAATTTACCTAGTTTTCCATTGATTTGTTTAATAGGGAGACTATTGAACTGCAAGTAATTTCACAACAGTTTATTAGATTTCCACAATTTAACCCAATATTTCCATTGATTTTGAAAAGAAAACTATGAAAAACAAAATTGCCCAAAGGTTTTAAGATTTTCATGGATTTCTACGGATTCACTTCCCCATTGTTTTCTCTCCAAATAAATATATTTGGTAGACCTGAGAAATCTATGCATATCTATACTTTTCCTTATATTTTTTCATCAATGTCATTAACACACTAAAAAGGTTAGGGACATTTATTGATTTGGAGAGAGTACTTCCATGTATATGTTCTAATAGTGGTTGAGCAAGGCTGCGAGGGGTGGCAATAGTAGAAATTAGAAAATTCAGAGAAAATATAAACTCCAATTGAAATAAAGGGGTGGGGTTTGTGAGAGTAATTAGGATTTACTACCAATCTAAGCTCTTGCCTAATATATCTCTTTGTTATCAGTATTTGGTGAAACACTTTTTAAAAAATGATGATTTCTAAAATTGATTTTGTAAACATCTTTAGCCTTCTAGAAGTTGGCAGTTATGACCTGTAGACATCTATTTCCAGCTTGTAAAAATTTTTTCTTAATAATTGGTAATAAACTACTAGCCCATCACAAAATTTTCTCACTTTGTATTATGGGGTGTTATAAAGTCTTCCTTACATTTCATATTACACTTTTTTCATTTGACTCTTCATTAATCTTTTTCGCTCCTTTCTCCCATTTTCTCTTACTTTGTCTTCTCTCATAGAGCGGGGTAGAGAGGTTTTCAGAAGTATGCAACATTTTCTGTACAATTATAAAAAGAGGATCTTTTAGCTTTTCCAAAAGGTGTTAAACAAGAAGTTTTGTTGAGTCAATTAACTTGCAAAGTTCCATCAGTTATGGTTTATAGAAATTATTTGAGATTATTCATGTCATATTATGTGGCATGCCTGTGATCTTCACATGTATTTCACTGGTATTTTATATGTTTTGCAATACTTCTGCCTAAATTTTAGTTGATTTTCAGCTTCAAGTCAATAGATAGTCTTTGTCAATCAGTAAAAAGGATGGAGTTTGATACAATTAATTAGTTCCAGCCACAAAAATCTGAACAGCAATTAAATATTTATTTATTTATATTTTAATTATTTGCTTTTTTATGTGCATGTAGTGAAAGGGAAAGACAACAATGTAGAGTTTCTGAGGCTTGTGGATGCTTGTGGAGCTACTTGGATGATATGCTATCTTGTGGTGGTCAATCACATGCTCACTACAATCTCTTTTATGACCCAATGAAACATGATGGTCCACTATTGCCTCCGGCTGCTGCTCTTGCTCCTACCCTGTGGCCACAGTTCCATCTTCGTTGGGCTTGTCCGAAAGAAGTTGAGGCTGGGGACCTTGATGCTAAGTGTCGAAGCATGGCTAACAAATTCTCTGAACTGCAGAAGGTAACTGTCTTCTTGTTATTTATATAAACATCATTACTTTACTGGTTAATACCTCAACGTAATCGGTACAGCAAAGAGGAAGTATGAGAGGAGGTAAGGTTAAGTGGTTTGGGAATTTTTTAAAATTTTTTGTTTTTGTTTTGTTTTTTTTTTTTTTTTTTTTAAATTGAAAGTGTGCAGTGGTTTGGGCAGTTGGGCAGCATTTGTTGAAAAATTCCATGTGCTGCTGCAACGGAAATGAGAGGATAGATAACGAGATATATAAACTTGCTTTTACTGAAGGTGATGATTTCTCAGCTACCTATTGCTCCATTGTTGAGTTTTCATAAAAATTCTAACATGCGGGAGTAAGATTGGTAATGCCTTAAATATGTCTCAGTTTTTGGAGAGGTAAGGTTTGACAAGTGGGGCAAACATTTCAGGTGTGTGGCCTAAGAAAAAAAAACCCAATTCTCCCTCTCCTTGCTGTTAATTTCATCGGCACTCCTATGATTCTAATGGCAGACAATTTCATTTGTATTCCTAGGATTCTAATGGTGGGACCGTTTCTCTCTCCTTAGCCCGCTTCTGAGAAAAAATATCATAGTTTTTTTGTTTTGATTGAGAATATAGAACAGTACAGATTAATGAGTACCAGTGACTAGCATGATTACCTTATTCTGCAGTATGTTCAAACCGTATACTATTATTGAAGTATACCTCTAACTCAATAAGCAACACTATAATTAACACCTCTAACTCCATTTAAGCACCACCATCTCCACACCAACTATTATTGAAGGTGTGTAGTGGGTTTTTTTTTTTTTAATTTTCATTTTTATTTTATAAATGCTGGTTCGCTTTTATTAATTCCAACTAACCATTATTTTTAATATCCCAAAAATTGGGATGATTTCGCTTCTTTTGTTCCCTGTTGACCAGTGTAGATTTATTTATTTATTTATTTTTTACTGTCAACGCCAACCTTTGACCGTTACAGCTGGTTAGCTGGCTGGTGGTGGGGAGGTAAAGGTGGTGTGTAGGGGTAGAAAAGGAATTAGGTATTTTTTTTAAAAAAATATTATTTTTCATCAATTGGGCGTTGACACGTGACAAGAAAACTGGATATAACTGGGTGATTATCTTTTGGAACCAAAAAAAGCAAATTCCCCCAAAGTTCGGATTATAAGTAAAAGTGTGTGGCCCGGGAACGACGAAAGTTGGGTTTTTGGTTGGTGGGAAGATGGTGGTGCGTGGGTGGGGATATAGTGTTGCTTCAATGGAGAAGGTTAGTTGGTGTGGAGATGGTGGTGCTTAAATGGAGTTAGAGGTGTCCGGTAAGTGTTTGATAGGTGAGTGTGGAAGAGAGTATGAATAAGGGAAATTTTGTCCTTTCAAGCTAAAATGCGGGCGTTATTGATGAATTTTTGGGTGACATTTAGTAATCCCCTATTGAGGGTTTGTTCCTCATTGTATTTTTTATTTGGAACTCAAATGCTCCAAAATCAGAATCTGTCTTTGATCCAAATCAGCTTCTTCTCCTGCCTTCATTGTCTTCCAGTTCCTAGTATCCACACAACCTGAATTATGTCTTATAAAACTGAGAGCATACCAGTATACTCTTTTTGTATCTTGTAGGTAGGATTGGAAAGGACCTCCACTATCATGTCCTTAATTATTGGGTTTATCAGCATTAGTAGCAGCTCTTTTGTTTTCAGTTAATTTTAATTGTTGATCTAGTTGGTTAAAGGTCATTCGTTTGAAAGAGAAATTAAAATAAGATATCCAAATCTGTTGATTTCATATTAAGGGATAAGTGGAGAAGTTTGAAGATTATAAAAGCTGCAGAGGCACAGGGCCTTTAATAGGCAAATTTCCTACATATTTGAAAAAGTAAACATGCCAGTTACATTGTTTTTATATTTATTTCAATAATTATTGATTAGCTTCTGATTTCATATTTTCTTAATTCTTACAGGCTAAGGATACAGCAGAAAGGAAGGCTAGGGAAATTACAGCTGCCATGGAATCTCTGACCACGGAGTTGAGAAATGAGAAGCAATTAAGCAGCACTGCTGTGCACTTGGCTAAAAAGGCAAGCAAGGAAAATGCTGCTATTAAGCGTGCAATCCAGTCATTGGGTTGCAAGATTCACTTCTCAAGCAGTGGGGATACTACTGTTGATGTTGAACACTACAAGACTGAGTCTCCTCAAAAGTCAATTGACTCTCTTCCTGAACGAGATTCAGATAGGATGCTGCAGTGTGATGAAAAGTCAGATCTTTCTGTGTCCATAGCACTCATGCCTGATGATGATGTTCCAACTGATTCTTTTAGTCGAATATGTGAATCCCTTTGCCCATTACGCTCTCCTGATGGCCAGTGTAGGTGGCCTGAAGCAGGTTGCGCTCAGATTGGAAGCCAATTTGTTGGTCTGAAGGCAAACTTTGATGCTTTTGATCGGTTGTCTATAGATGATGGTTACTTCTGATACATTCTCGCTCCAAATTTTGAGCTAATCTTTGGTTTTAGGCAATATTTACCAGTTCATTGTATTGTCAGAGAAAAGGTAGGTGCTCTGTTGGTGCAAAGTTGCAGCTGAAGAAAATCTCTTTTTTCAGCAATTTTTGCAATATTTGCAGCAAAGTAGATGACTTATGATCCACCTTATGATTCGGGTGTTGGGTTTGTACAGGCCAAACAGCATATAGAGTTGGAAGCCTCGATTTACTAATGCTGATTGTAAGAAGAAAGGTTAAACTAATTTTTCAGAGCCAAACATTGGTGAGATGCTGCTTTTTATTTGCCGATTAACCCCCAAGGTAGATGACCACCTCCAGTCTTTTCTAAAATAAAGGTGATGGAATTGTACAGCATTCACATACTTCTGCTATCCTGTATATGATATATTCTTGCCTAAAATCCATCTTGTAATATTTAATTTTTTTGGATTGTAAATAAAAATTTTAATATTGTTCTTAGGAGAATTCTGCCATGTTTGATAAATGTTAGGTTGTAATTTTCAAATAGGCTTGATTTATAAATTATAATAATCTATATACTGGATTTGTTATTTTTATTTTTTTTGACGGGCTGGATTCGTTATGTAAGGATAAGAATGTGGAACAAATAGAAGGTTTGTGTTTTTTTTTTTGAAACAATAGAAGGCTTTTATTTGGACAAACAATATTTCTTTTTCATTTTTTTTTACATTGAAAACATAAAATGGAATACGGAGTATGATTTACGGTTACCCATTTGAATGTAGAAGACCGCAGATTGCAAGTAGATTAAAAAAAGGACTTAGGGCTAAAAACAAATTAGTGAGCTTAATTAAAATAAAATGGCTACTGGATTTTAAAATAATAAGCTGCATGATTACTTCAGTCCAATTTGCAACACTGTCCAATGTGTAGTTTAATTTTTGGATTTTGTTTGAGGCACATTTAAGTGTCTACAGTACTAAATTTATATGTATAATATAGGAGAAAATCCCCGTTCATAAGCCATATGAACGATTTATGTTTATAAGAGGTTATTCGCGTAATTTCAACAGGTACATTAAGGGTAAACTCGACAAAATGAAATATGGGGGTTAACTGAAGACAAGCGCCGTAACTGTTCTCAAATCAAACGTCCGTTTTCAAAATGCCACATCCCGTTCTGAAAAACAGGCCTCGTGCTTGGCCCTGCCTAGTTCAGTAAGCTTATGCGTGTACGCGTGCTTCTGAAATCTATTGATTTCATTGAGGAGTTTATGAGTGTTGAGGAGGTGGTGGGGGCGGCGTCCAGTTGGCGGCGACTACAATATAGGGCGATAGTTGCATTTAAGTTGGCCGCGTCCGAGGAATGTGTCGCTAGGGTTTCAAAAGGTATGTGTCGTAAACACGGTAATACGCCCAGTCCCCTGTATGTTTGTGGAATTTGTTGTTTGTTGTGTTTGAAGTGTGCAATGCTTGCGTAATGGAATTGATTTGTTTGTAATTTTGTCGCTCGCGATATTGAAATATGTTTTTAATTGAATTGGGTATGTATTAATTGTTGCTGGTAGTTTGTTGATTCAAATGTTCAATTGATAGCTTAGATTGTTGGGTTTAATCATTCTCGTGTTTGAATTGTACGATCATTGGTTAATTGATATGATTTCGGTGTAATTTTGATTGTGTCGTGTTCGAATTCATGTTTTTATTGAATTGGGGGGGGGGGGGGTTCAAATGTTCCGGTAATTGTTGATTTATTTGTGCAATTCATGGTGTAGATTGTGCAATAAATTGTTATATTATATGGGGCAAAACGACGTTGTTGAACTTTAGTTAATAGTAAAAGTTGAGGAATTGATAGTTTAGATTGTGCAATTATGATTGAAATGAAGTGGTTTCAATGGTTGGGTCTGAATTTATATGCAGGCTACTTTGTTTGACATCAGAGAAAGAAAGAATGGATTCATTGGAGAGGAAAAACCATAACTGCAAAAGGTGCAAAACTGCAAACTTTTCTGAGGTATAACTCATGTTGTGCGTATTATTCAATTACATTAGCCTGTTCAAGGTAATTTGTGTGATTTAGATTAAATTTTCCATTGTCAGGATGGAATATACCATGTCAGATGATGAAGCTTTATCCATAGATATTCAAGGTACTTATAAATGTTTTTGTTATAATGTTAGAATAAGTACATTGTTAACAAAGTAGCAATTTATTATCGTAGGATGACTCTTTAAGTGTTGGTGGGGAGGTGAAAAGGAAAGGTGAAGTGTTGGTGCACTATTTGAAGGCGCGATGTAGGGTAAGTGTTGATTTGCATTAGTAAGTTGACTAGTAGTCGATGTGGATTTTATGTTATAGGATTGAAGTGGTTTGAATTGTATTATGTGTTGATTTCGATTATATGTCATATGATAGTAGTTGTTTGAATGTTGTTATGTGTTGAGTTGGATTTTATGTTATTAGATAGGGTTGAAATTGCAAAAACCAAAAAGTTTATTTGATTTGTTTTCCTTGGAATTTGTTGGTTAGCCGGCTAATACAAGTTGTCGGATAGAGTCTTTTAGGAGAATTTGCAAAATGTTAGATGAGCAACGTAGGCGATGGATTGGTGAAATGGGGTTTGCAGAGCTATTAAAAATTGGTGGCTACATGAATCTTCCAAGACAGTTGGCGTATTGGTTGATGGACTCGAATTGATTCCTTTAACTATACACTAACTAGCCTAGATGGTAGAGTTTTAAGCTGTTGCATTGGGTGTTAGGTATTCCCAATGAGGGTCTACCTGTTCCGACATACAAGTCATTGGATAAAGAAATGTCCGAAAAGGTCAAAATGATTATGAAGACTTATGGTAAATCTTGAAATAATAAGTCTATAAAAACTGATCGGGAGTACATATACGAGGGTATTCCAGTTAATAGTGAGCTCATTGGTAGGTTGGAAGGGAAATGGGAGGAAGATCAAGCGGAAGAGTTCAAGACAATATTCTTGTTGTTGGCTCTTGAGATGTTGCTATGCCCTAATCAGTCGTCGAGGTTGGCCGCGGATTTGGTGCCCGCTTTAATGTGTGCCTCAAGAGCTGCGGAATATGATTGGTGTTCCCTTGTGCTAAAGAAGCTAATGGAAAGTGTAGCTATGTTCGCACGGCGGTTTTACGCTAGTGGTGTTGCAAGTGGATGTGCTGGCTGCCTTATACTTATTGTGGTATGTGATTGATTAGGTTGGTTGGTCTATCTTGTACATCATTTACATTAAGTTTTTTAGTTATCTGATGTGGATCAAGAGGGAAATTCTTTTGAAGAGCCAATCATATTGGTTTTAAGGCCAATAGGGTTTGAGCTTGGAGTAAAGAATCAAGAATGGTTAACATGCGCAGCCATTGAAGAAGAAGTCAAGGTCCAGTTGGGTTCCGACGACGGCAGCGGCGGCGACGCGCCGATCTGGGTGCCACGCGCCGGCTCCCTAGCTCCGGCCTGAGTCCAGCTACACGGCGGTGGGGCGCGTGTCGATGATGGCGGCGCGTGAGACGGTGGTTCGGCGGCAGTACGAAAAGAAAGATTTTCCTAACTTAGTTTTTTCTAGAGTTTTTGCTTGCAAGTTTTTACCTTTCACTTGAAAGGGTTTTTCTTGGTTTAAGCAATTAGGAATCTTCTTAATTTCTGTTATTTTAGTTTAAAATAATTTCTAAGTCAATTAGGAATTGTTTTAAGAAGTTTTAGTTTAATTAGAACTAGTCTTATTACTAGTTTCCTAGTTCCATTAGAATTGGTTTTCCTATTCTATCTAGGATACTTGGGGATCAAGGCTAGGGTTTTTTTCCTAGTTCGAATAGACTTAGGAATAGTTAGTTTAGTCTATAAATAAGGGATTTTTCGTGGCTTTGTATACACAACCAAAACCAGAAAATTCAATACAAGTTTATTGTTTGTTTTGCTTAATTGCTTACAAATTCTTTTGCTAGTTTTCAATTCAAGGAGTTGTTTTGATAATTAGAACGTTCAATTCTTAGTTCTAGGAGTAGTCTAAGTTTTGTTCATCAAAGTACTTAGTTCCAGGAGTGGTCTAGGTAATTTGAGAGGCGTTGAATTCGTTCCAGGAGTGGTCGTTTTCAAAGTCATATCCGGTTCGTTATTCTTAAGTTGTTCGATTTTCTTAGGAAATTCGAAGGGCTTGTGTTACTTGTGTGATTTTAGATTCTTTATTAAGTTAAGGGGTTTAAATCCACATCAAATTGGTATCAGAGCTTGTGTGATACCACATCAAATTGGTATCAGATTTCAGGGGTTTTGATCGTTCAACAATTCGTTCATCAAATCGCACTTGTTCTCGGATAACCAGTTTTTCTGTCAACTTCAGAAGGCTCGTTCTCCTTCGTTACAAGGTCTTTTCAGGTGATTCTTTTTTTGATTTTGGGTGAAATTTTGTCTAATTTCTGCCTGTGAAATTTCGGAATTTTTCGAGTTCGTTTGCTATTAAACTGGACTGTTTTCCGAAACTGTGTCAGTTTTGGTCCGATTTAATACTTACTGCTCGTTGTGTGCGATTTTGTTCCAAGTTGTGTTGCGATTTTTGTGGGATATACCTGTGTGGATAAGGGTTCTTTTAAGTCTTTTTTTTGTCTTATAATTATGGAGGAAGCTTTGAGCAAACTCATGGATGAATTTGCAAGATTGCAAGATAATACGGAGGCACGTTTTAATGCTTTTTCACAACTATTGCTTGATAAAAAGAAAAAGAAGAAAAAACGGCATGATAGTGATAGTGATGCTTCTAGCAGTGATGATGATACCCATTATAATAAAAAGTTCGATGATAAAGGTATCAAACTTGATGATTTTACGGGTCTAGGAAGCCCCGAAGATTTTCTTGAGTGGGCGAGACACTTAGAGAAAATTTCAGATTATAAAGGTTTTGATGATTCTCAGCGTTTCAAAATTGCTTATATACGACTCACTAAGAATGCGGGAATTTGGTTCGATAATTTAAAGACTCGACGTGCTAGAGCAGGGAAGGATAAGATCAAGACATGGACAGTTTTGAAGAAGAAGATGCGTTCTAAATACCTTCCACATGATTTCGAACAAATTCTATATGTGAAACTCACTATGTTGACACAAGATACTAAGAGTGTTAATGAATATATTGCTGAATTTGATAAACTAACCTCTCTTTGTGATTTGGAGGAGAAAGAACCATTGCGGATTGCTCGATTCCTTAAGGGTCTTAATCGACCTATTGCTAAGAAGATTGAATTGAGTACTTATGAGTCATTCAATGATGTGTGCAAACTAGCTTTAAAAATTGAAAGTCATTGGCTCGAAGATAAGAAGAGCACAAGTACAAAGAGTTTTGGTACCAAGTCCTCACAAGGGACCGAAACAAGCAAAACTTTCAAGCCTTTTAAACCGAGTTCCTACGAGTCTAAGGGAGAAAGCTCAACAAGTGGAGAAAAGAAATTTGTTAAGATATCTAAAGAAGAGTTCGAATCCCGAATTAGGTGTTTCAAATGTCAAGGGACATAGGTCGGATCAATGTCCTTCCAAGAAAGCTCTCACAATAAGACAATACGAACAACAAGTAGAAGAAGAGAAACACATAGTTTTTGGGTGTGACGATGAGGAATCCGAAACTAAGGCAACAAGTAGTGAGGAAGAGAACGATGAGATTGATCCCGACGATGATGAAAAAGTGCTTGTGTTAAGGAAGATCCTCCATGCCGAAGCAAACCCTAACAAATCTCAACGTGAAAACTTATTCCATACTCGTTGCAAAGTAGGAGATAGATCATGCAAGGTGATCATTGATAGTGGTTCATGTACTAATGTGGCGTCCACAGAGATGGTTACTAAGCTCAACCTTCCAACAAGAGTACATGAGAATCCTTACAAGTTGAGTTGGCTTGATGATTCTAAGGGACTTCATGTGAAGAAACAAGCCTTAGTAAGCTTTTCCATTGGCAATTACAAGGAAGAATTATGGTGCGATGTGATTCCTATGAGTGCTTGTCACGTTCTTTTAGGAAGACCATGGCAATTTGATCGACATGTTAAACATGATGGTGTGGCCAACACATATTCGGTCAAGGTGGGAAACAAGAGGTTCAAACTTATTCCTTTAACTATTATTCCATGCCGCGTTAAAGTTAAAGAGATGGAGGAAGATTGTCAAAAGGATAAGGAAGAGGAACATGTAGGTGCTAAAGAGCTCGAAGAAAAGGTGAGTGAAACAATTGATGTTCCAATTGTGTGTGACGTTGTTCAAGATCAGATTATTCATAATGATCTACCAATGGTGGTGTCGGAAAAGGTTTTTGATACTATTGAGGAGCCATTCGTGAATCAAGATAATAATTTAATGGTTTCTTTAGAAGTGGTGGATTCATTAGGCATGCATAAAGAGAAGAAATTGTTAGTCATACATGAGAAAAATATCATGAAGCCTAAAGTGTTCTTATGGTCAACTTCGAAGACCAAGGACCAAATTGAGAATTGGTTGTTTCTAAAATATTGCCTTGCTCGTGGTGATGTTGTTACATTGCTTAAAATTGCTAGCGTTGAGGTAATAGTTCTTTTGGCTTGTATTCGTCGAATTTGGATGGTTTCATGGAATTGTTCTCCTTACATGGATGATGCGAATTTGAGGACAAATTCTTTTGAAGAGGGGGAGAATGATGTGGATCAAGAGGGAAATTCTTTTGAAGAGCCAATCATATTGGTTTTAAGGCCAATAGGGTTTGAGCTTGGAGTAAAGAATCAAGAATGGTTAACATGCGCAGCCATTGAAGAAGAAGTCAAGGTCCAGTTGGGTTCCGACGACGGCAGCGGCGGCGACGCGCCGATCTGGGTGCCACGCGCCGGCTCCCTAGCTCCGGCCTGAGTCCAGCTACACGGCGGTGGGGCGCGTGTCGATGATGGCGGCGCGTGAGACGGTGGTTCGGCGGCAGTACGAAAAGAAAGATTTTCCTAACTTAGTTTTTTCTAGAGTTTTTGCTTGCAAGTTTTTACCTTTCACTTGAAAGGGTTTTTCTTGGTTTAAGCAATTAGGAATCTTCTTAATTTCTGTTATTTTAGTTTAAAATAATTTCTAAGTCAATTAGGAATTGTTTTAAGAAGTTTTAGTTTAATTAGAACTAGTCTTATTACTAGTTTCCTAGTTCCATTAGAATTGGTTTTCCTATTCTATCTAGGATACTTGGGGATCAAGGCTAGGGTTTTTTTCCTAGTTCGAATAGACTTAGGAATAGTTAGTTTAGTCTATAAATAAGGGATTTTTCGTGGCTTTGTATACACAACCAAAACCAGAAAATTCAATACAAGTTTATTGTTTGTTTTGCTTAATTGCTTACAAATTCTTTTGCTAGTTTTCAATTCAAGGAGTTGTTTTGATAATTAGAACGTTCAATTCTTAGTTCTAGGAGTAGTCTAAGTTTTGTTCATCAAAGTACTTAGTTCCAGGAGTGGTCTAGGTAATTTGAGAGGCGTTGAATTCGTTCCAGGAGTGGTCGTTTTCAAAGTCATATCCGGTTCGTTATTCTTAAGTTGTTCGATTTTCTTAGGAAATTCGAAGGGCTTGTGTTACTTGTGTGATTTTAGATTCTTTATTAAGTTAAGGGGTTTAAATCCACATCATTATCCCTGTGCATTGAGTACAACAATAATGTGATACACAGGTTATGTATTTAGATCGACTAAATAGACATCCGGTACAATGGGGGTACTTCCCTAGGATGGAGGTTTGGAACATGGAAGAGATACGTATGGCAATTCGAGAAGATCGTTTTCTAGATGGTGGTGACTTTGGACAGCTCGGGGGTAAGATTATTAAAATTTTTAGTGTTATGTGTATTCATTGTTTGGTTGTGATTATTATTCTTTGGTTTCCTTATTAGACTTTGGATGTGGCATACGGTGCAATGCATCCTACAGAAGCAAGAGATACAAATGGACCTGATGGGACATCCAAGGTGATTGATAAAATATATATAGTTAATTAAATATTTGTTGCTTAAACTTAATTCCATTCCATAACCCCTATTGTATTGGGCCTATTAAAAGGATGGAAAACTGGACCCATTCAATTGGGTAGTATGTGGTTAAAAAACTCAATTATAAAAGAATCTATAAACTTAATAGAACATTAAATTTTGACATATGTATGTAAAATATGCCTGACAGGTTGAGCGATTGGGCAGTGGTAGTGTTTGTTACAGGACCACGGGGGCACGAAAAAGGATCCCCAAATGTAAGTGTAAGAGGTAAGGAAAAGTTATTTTAACATAAAAATGTGTTGGTAATGTGCATATTGGTTACTGATTGTTAATCCCCAAGTTGCTAATTTAGGTTAATCACTCCTATATATCCAGGGTGGTACCTGATTCTGCTATCTTCAAAGGTGTATCATCCTACTCTGATATCAACAGCAATGTCGTCATAGGTAAAGATGTGAAGTGTAGCATAGACTTGAATAAATGAAAGTATTTCATGCAATTCATCAATTTGTTGTGCAGTTGGCTTCTCATTTTCTGTGAGTTGTGAATAATAGGCTGTTTTATAAAAGACTCTATTATGACTGGGTAATTTCCATATTTATTGGGCTGTATTGGGCTATTAGATTCGAGTCCAATGTATTGGGCCTATTAAAAGGATGGAAAACTGGACCCATTCAATCGAAAGTATGTGGTTAAAACACACAATTATAAAAGAATATGTTACGATTGGGCAATTTTCATAGTTATTGGGCTGTATTGGGATGTTGGATTGGCTACAAGTGAAATCTATTGGGCCTATCAAAAGGATGAAAAACTGAACCCATTCAATTGGGTAGTATGTGGTTAAATAAACTGATATCTGGACCCCATTAAACTTTTTGGCATTTGGTCAACACATTTGGGTATAATTATAGGTTGTGTATTTTTATGGGCCGCCAATATACGTATGATGTTGTTAAATATTAACGTTAAGAGGGTAATCAATCTAATCATTACTCAGCTAGTACATTACATGTTGGATTAATATTTCAAAATCTTCAATCAGCTTATTTTGAGCGATGTTTTAGTATTCTATAATTTCTAAATTATACATTATTGTAAATGTGAAGGATAAATATTTGTAAATTATTCGTTATTGTAAATTATTCATTAAATATTGATGATATTTGTAAAAACAGCATGAGATACGCCATAAGATACTTGTGATTGTAGCATAACCCAATTAAAGTTCCATTACAAATTCAAGAGCACATACATTAAAAGCTACAAACTGTCTAGCTTACAACCATAACACTCTATCCTTGCTGAAAACCTTAAATACTTTAAAACATAACATTTGTCTAAGTTAACTACTGGACATTTAGTCCTCAACAATAATCATTAGCAAAAGAAGTAAGAAACTCCATCTTCATGTCCTTGGAGAAGGTGAGCATGGCAATATCGCCCATGCTGTCAGTTTGTGATATTCCATACACAGCAAAAGGTTTCAAATAAGCACAAATAAGACGTGCCATATGAATAGAAACCCGAGTTTCAGTTAAAATTATCAAATGAGGCATATGAATCTCTAATGTAGACCTCATAAATGGCAAAAATGTATCCCTTCCCAAATGACGATAATTCCAAACTAGGCAATGTATGCCTTTTTCGCCAATTCCATTCCAAAACCCTAAGTGGTCATTTGAAAGCACTTGGACAATGACCTCCACTTATCTTTCATCTAGTATGTTCGAGGAGTAGGTTCTACTCTCCATAGAATTTTAGACACAACCATAGGAAATGGGATAGTGAAAATTTTAAAATCATTTCTATAACTAGGGATTTTTAAGTGATGATCACCATGTGACAAATTACAACATTCAACAACAGCCGATATATCCGAAAGGAGGATCTACCATGCTCAGTACTGATTTTGGTAAGACATGTTCGGACCCACATCCTTCCTTATCACCGTGGGTAGAGATGACCCATCTTACAAATTGCTTTACCCCTCTTGGTAGCAAAGCCATATCGGATAAGTCCGGCAAGTGTATAGGCCTTACCCTATTGTTAGGAGTGATGACTATGAGGTCTCCCTTTGACTTTGAATTTCCTACGATATAGTGACCTTTCCATCTTCAGAAACCACCGGGGAATCAATAACCCCAAGGACACCCTTTCTTTTCCTTGTTTGAATGGAAGAAATGGGAGTACAAGATCGTACCATTTTCAACCCCTTTGTTTTAACAATTTGTGAACAAGGTCGGAGTAATATCTCTTTTGTACAGGGTTTTGGGTTGAATGGTTTAATCATACTAACATGGAGTGCTATTTTTTTGTTAACCATTTTTTCAGTGATGAAGCAACACAATGTTTGGAGGCAAAGGCTTTCGGTTTGTGATGTGGATGTGGAAGAGGATGGATAGATATATTTAAGAAACACAGCAGTAGTTGTTGGGTAAATTTTTGGGGGGAGGGGAAATTTGGATATTTTTGGCGGGATTGAGCACCAGCACCAATATTGATTAAGTTTGTATTGGTACACATGTGAAGCATAACAAAAATCAACCTGCAATTTTCAGTGTTGCAAAATATTTTTGTCCTCCACAAGAGCCCCACTTATTCACGTGACTTGTTTATATTGCCTTTTAGAGTTTGTTTCTATATGAAATTCCTATTCCACTGTGAATATATTATTTTGCAATTATGATTAAGTTATGTTGTTGTAAAAGATGAAAATGATTTAGCTTGTTTTATTGACTTATGATGTGTGGGAAGTTTGTTTTATTTACTTATAAATTGTACGAAGTAGTTTTTTTTTTTTTTTTTTATAAGAAACGTAGTAGCATGTTTAAGAATGCACAAATTGAATTCAACAAAAATTTAACATAACTTAGTGGCGCACAAATCGAATTCAATAGAAATCCAATGTAAATATGTTTGATTAGGGGCAATTGAAATAACACTGGGGAATCAGCCCAACAAATAAATTGCAAAGAATCATGTCTAAGAATGCACAATCCAAAGTATTCAATAAGTCATTACAATACACAAATTGCAAAGGATCATGTCGAAGAATGTACAATCAAAAGCATTCAACCAGGCAGTAGAATACGTTACAATAAGTTAGTGATTAATATTAGAAATAGCAACTGCAAGAGGTTATGTCCTAATATTGACAAACAAAAGCCCCATGTACCATTGAGTCAAAATATTGGTACTAGTCAAGTGAAAGCCAAATTGCAATAACGAGCCTAAAGTTAGGTGGATCAAGTGAATGTAATGCCTAATGTTGGAGGTTCCATATCTTCCAACTCAACCAGAGCCTTTTCACCAAGTTCAACCCCTTCACCCGCAATCATTTCTGAAACTCCTTTTCTGACGGTGCAAGTTAAAATCTTGTTGTTTATGTCAAACTGAATGCGCATTGTTGCTGGCCACCACCGACTCACATACAATCGTACATCAGTTGGGTCTTTAAGACCTTGGACATGTGCACGGGCAAAGTGTAATGGAATGTTCTGAACCACATTTAACATCAATATAAGATACGATGAATCCAACAAGATATGATAAACACTGACAAAGAAAAGTAGCCAAAAAGATAGGATAAACAGTAACAAGATACACATTATCAAAGTGAAGAATCAAAATAATTGAGGCTAAATACTAACACCTTAAAAAAGCCAACAAAATTAAGCAGCCAACAAGAAAATGTATAAACACTAACAAAGCAAGTAATCAGCCACCAAGAAGATTTGATAAACACTAACAAAGTAAAGCAGGCGCTAAGAAGATTTGATAAACACTAACGAAGTAAAGCACCAAAAGAATAAGGCTAACAAATTAAACCAGCCAAGCCAAGAAGTATAATATCGTTTTACTTACGATTTTAGGTTTGTTGATGTAACCTTTGGTGAATGTGCATTCAAAAGAGGGTGTCTTCCACAAACACTCATTGGGCACATACTCCCTTTCGTCGACGTCACTTATTGAACCATCATTCTCTATGAGTACCCAAGGGTCCACTACTGTAATTTCTTTCTCGTCAAGCCATATCCTAACCTGATAAAGCATTCAATCGTCGTCCTCTAACACTAATAGGAGGCGGACTCTTATTCGTAAACTGCTTGAGGTGACAAACTCCCTCCATCCTTCACTTAAAAAAGTCTCAAATTGCCTCGGACCCTTAAACACATGTCTCAACCGCACAGGGTACACTTTGTTCTCAGTTCTGCGGTGAAGGCTTAACAAACGATATGTACAATCCCTCTTAATCCATAATTCTTGCACCTCCCTATTCATACGAGTTGGAATACGCTGGTAAGATTTAATATTAGGGCCGTTTTAGTATTACCAATGATGTGCAAGGCATTTAAAAAATCTTGAAGTAGATAATCCGAAAATAAGTGGCCAACTCACCACAGTTGTAAACTTTTGAGGAGTATCGAGTATAAATTCAAATCGCCAAAGTGACATTGTTTTCCTATAACACTTGCATTGTAAATGTAGAAACGAATAATTATGTTTATTGTAATGATATTAACGATACAAAAAAACAAGGGACAAGTGTATTTACATAATACTAACAATACATTAAAACAAGGGACACGTTTTTTTTTTTAAATAATATTAACAATAAAAAATAACAAGGACCAAGTTTATTGTAATGATAGGGTAATTGAAAATGTATAGTAAATTACTCAAAATGGTAGGAATAAGGAATACCATTGTTACAGGTACTCTGAAGTATAATTTTCCAAATGAATCCAAAAGTAGGACCACATTCACACCCCAATAAGAATATTCACCTCCAATAAGCACAATCACCCCCAAAAGTAGGACCATAATCACCCCCAATAAGCACAACAATTTCTATTTTTGACAAAAACAACAACAATTTTCACTTGATTTTTTAGCAGCATATGATTACTGCAGGGGTTTGTTTTCCATATTCGTAACTATATACTGAGCAAGCTTCAAAATAGCTATCCAACTTGTAATTGAGCAAGCCAACAGAGAAATTCAAAATTTTATTAAACAGTCAAATGATCCCAAATTAACATATATAAATGTACATATTAAACAGTTTATCCTATTTTAGTGTGTACAAGAATACGTGAAACAAATTAAATTTCCAAAAACCCTATAACAATAGAGTCAAAAGATCCCATTTTAACCCCTAAACAAAGATCAGTAACTAATACCACCCAATTTCATATTCTAAATACCGTCAATCTTCAAATAAATCAGGGCACATCAAACATGCCGAACACGAAATTGCAATTGAAGGCATTAGTGCACGTATGTAATGTAAAAGCATTATCAAACACAAAATTGAGCCTCTATATCAATTAACATAACAAACGAATTAATAATCAAAATTTTAAGGAAGTGAATAAAAATCCAACACAATTATTATGTAAATAGATACATGAATAACAGTGTTGGAACTACATTTATAGAAGAGGAATGTTTAGGATTGGATACATACTTGATCGAAGATGGGTTACCCGGATCTGGCCTCGGCCGGAAAGTAGTTCTGGAATACTCGAATGTGGGGGGGGGGGTACGGATGGGGGAGTTAGGGTTTAAAGGAAAGTTGTGAAGGTAGTAAAAAAAAGCAGAAGAAAAGTTACTTTTCAATCCTCCCTTTACACGTGGTCTAAATGGGTGGATAGGGAGAGATGCAATTGTTCCTCCCCTTTGCACGTAGTATAATAGTTTTTACATTTAATAGAATAAAAGGATTTTGATAATGTTAATAAAATGAAATAATTTCATTTAATATACTTAAAAGAATTTGATATTGTTATCTTGTATAATCATGTTTTATTAAAAAATAATAATAATCATGTTTTATCATGCATTGTAGGGAGATGGATATATTTATTTACAAAATTTTACAACCCATATGAAGAAAGGGATGATATTTTGAGGGTTATTCACCGGCTTGAAAAGCTTAAAAGAAAGTCAAACACATGGTGTCTCCCAATGATATCCCAAGGAATACTCAATAACACACACAATGGTATCAAAACCAATCTGTACATGACTCGATTTATACCACAATACCCAAATAGTTAAGTAAATAACCAAAATAAAAAGTTGGACAATTAGAGTCATAAGGTGGTACTTATAAACCTATCGAGTCGGCTAATACTTATTCGCCGACTTGTTAATTAAGTGGGGGTTAAAATCAACAAACCACCTTATTGAGTCGCCTAATATATATGAAGTCGACTTTATAGGTTAAAAAGTCGCCCAATATATTCATGAGACTCTATAACTTGACTTATTTAATTAGGTGGTTTACATTAGATGTTCAAAGTCACTTGTACATAAGGTGCAACTCCAAAACCTGTCAAGTCGCCTTATACGTATTGGGAAACTTAATAGGTGAGTTTTGTGAGCTATGCTCTCACTTACTGAGTCGCCAAATATATACAAGGCGACTTAATAGGTTAATCAGTTTCGCCTTATATGAAGATGAACCATATGAGAACTCTTAATACAAAATGTCAATCATGAAGCCTAGACTTACATGATTATTGGCCTTCATCCCCAATCCCCACATTTGAGTAGTTTATGTTATTTTATTTGATTTTGTAAAATATTTTTTTTAATTATTTTTGAATTAGCATTATAGATAAAAATAACATCTGTAAAAAATCGTGGGTTGCACAGGACATCAAACTTGTTTTGATTATTTATGAGTGAGTAAAGCATACAACTACTCCCTAAAATCAGCCAAAAGTTGCAAGTCAGTCACTAAACTCTTACAAGTTGCAAGTTACTCACTACTCAGGTGGTTGGAGGTCATATTTTAGGTAGCAACTTGATATAGCAGGTTAACTCCTTAACTTTCCCTAAACTATTGTACTAATATGTAAACTCCTTAAACTTTGATTTGTTTATTTTTATGTTTTTAATATTTTTTAATTTAACAAATAACAATCTAATCATACATTTGAAAGTCAATGGGAACACTAAATATTAATTCTAAAACAGACTAAATCTTTTACTTGGACGAAATCTTTTCCTTTGCACTAATAAAATGGTTCATTTGTTTATTTTTAATTTTTTTTTTTAATTAGATGATCCATGTACATTAACATCAAAGTAGAAAGAATGGCTTATTCATTGTTTTTTGAACAAGATGAGCATATTCATTATTCTTTGAACAAGATGAGCATATTCATTGTGTGCCATTATATATCACATACGAGTAGCTATTAGTTTGAATGTTTGATTTATTATACACATTACACTCAACAAAATTTATAATTAGCTGACTTCAAAAGAGAACATAGTACTAAAAATCCCTTATCGTCTCCTTAAAAAAAACCCCCTCATCAGATCATCATAAGAATTTGCAGCTGCGTGTGTTGATTGAAAAAAAAACTTAAAATTCCAATTTTGTTGTGATACGATCATGATCAAGAAGAAAGTTTAGAATTTTTTGTGATGTTGAAATTATTGTTTCTTAATAGCGGTTGTCATTAATATTAGTTAGTGTCTATAAAGTTTTGTAACTAAAAAGCCAAAAAAAAAAATTTATTATTTTTTTTCAAAAAACCAAAAATATATAAATAGCCAATATTTTGTCACTATTATGTACTTCATATTATTTTAAGGGGTCACTAATAGTATCATACATGTATTACAGTATATATATAGGTCTTGATAGAAATTTTTTAAATAATAATTTTTATAATTAAATTGCTAATTAATTAAAAATTATGTGAGGAACTTTAGGGAGTTTTAGGAAAGTTTAGGGTGTGCTCTAAGTTTTAGGTCAAAAGATTAGAGAGTTTTACCAATTAACCTGTAAATGAAGGTCATAAGAGGTTATAGTGAGTAACTTGTAACTTTTGAAAGTTCAGTGAGCTTACTGCAACTTTTAGCTAAGTTTAGGGAGTAGTTGTGCTCATCACTCATTTATGACCACAAAATAAGCTCAGATTTGGAAAAAAAAAAAAGAAAACGTAAATGCTCCGGTTTACGTATCCAAAAATATTTGGCTCTTACTATGTGCTGGAGGGAGTATTAAATTCTGAAGTAAGAAGTGGTAATTTACAGGGGTCTTAAAAACCTACCCTACAGGTTTAGTTGAAATTGATCTGTTGTCGAAATATGTGAAACCCAAAAAAATTTCATCCTAACCCGATTTGTAATCAATCCGAAGTGTTTGGTCATGTTTAATTTGAAATTAATTAGTTTAAAATTAGTTTTAAATTTCATCCAAATCCAATTTGTAATCAAGCCATATTAATTTAATGAGTATAAAATAATATGTTTAATTTGAAATTAGTTTAAAACATGAGTATAAAGATGTCACCATATAAGAGAGAGGGTGAATTGTGGCCTACTAGTTTTCAAAGAATGATAACATTTACAACTCCTCTAAATGCTAATTAAGATTATCCCAACACCCACACCAATAAACACACATTACTTTAATGGGAGGACAATGGATGATCTAGATAAATTTGGTAACAAGGTACACAATGATATTATTAAAAAGCACAATGTTGAATTAAAATCAAATTGAAGTGCAGATGTGCAATGATTATAATTCACGTGGGGCAATATTGCTCATATAAAGCAACAACGATACAGAAATCTGTCCCTTATAATTTAGTATGCATGTAAAGTTGTAAACGTGTTGTAGATATAACATCCTAGAATCCAAAAAATCAAAAATAAAAAAAATACGGGGGGGTTTTATGAGGAATCAAACTCATGATGCGTGGTTAGGTAGATAGTATGTGTGTAGTATGTGGAACATTGGGTGGTACCTCGACCGTGTTATATACGGTAAAAAGAATTGATTTATAGTTAGTTTCTTGGTAAAGGGGGAGTACTATACAAAAGTATTGTTTGGATTTTTTTTTAATTTTTTTTATTATATATAATTTTTTATTTCCTTCCTTTTATTATTATGGTAATACATATTCAAATAAGGTGAGTTTGAACTTGTAGATTTTTTAATTTTTTAAATTTTTTGTTTTTTTGAGGGAAACCTATAGTTATTATTGAGTATTAACCTTAATAATGGGTAACTATCAAGTCAATTGATATTTTTTGTAACATTTGAGTAGTAATGACGTATATAGAATTTTGGGTCACTTTTCCATAAAAAACCAAATAAACTCGGCTTAATTATATTCGACTCAACATTGGGCCAATTTATGATTAGGTACAAAAAAAAGAATTCGGTTGAATTCAATTCGGGTCAACTCCAACTAAGTTTCAAGTAGATCTGAACCCAAATTCAACATGTTATTTTAAACTTTATTTTCAAAATCCCCTGATATCCATTATAATAAAAAAGTCATTACCTAATTAATCCGTTGTTATTTTGGGTCAGGTCTAGTAGGGACTCACGGGTTGTTTTGAATTGAGTTTAAAAAAAGGTCGGGTAAAATTACTAATTTTCGGGTTAACTTCGTGTTTTTTTTTAGTCCAATAAGTTCGAAAACAATTCGGTTTCAGGTAAACATTTAGAGTCGGATAAGTTATTCCCACACATAATAAGTTTTTATGTGACCAAATTCGATACATTATCTGTAATTTTGACAGAATAATTTAAAAAATAAAGATTCTTATTTAATATGATTTCACTTTTTCGTTTTATATTAAATCGATTACGGTAGATAAATTATAAAATTACTAATTTTGAACTATTCCTATGTAGTCCTTATTTTCTTATGTGTAACAAGAAACCGAAATATTTCCTCGTAGTACGTGAGTTGTCCTATTGAAACAGTAAAACTCTTCCTATTCTCTTGAAACAGTACAAATCAAAAAGACATGATGTATTAAAGGATTGATTTCCGGACGTTTTTCCAAAGTGAGCCAATTTTGGCAAATATTAACCAAAATGGTTGCATGGCAAAAGTATTTACCAAACTAAGCTTCCAGGCTAAAACGCTGTCTCAGTCAGCGTTTTATGCCTGGGTTTTTTTTTTAAAAAAAATCAACCTAAAAACGCTGTCTGGGACAACGTCTTTGTTGTTGACCTTTTTTTGTAAATTTTTGTAATTGCCTTTTATTTATAAAAATGTTTTTAAAAAACAAAAACAGTTATACCAAAGACGCTGTCCCAGACAGCGCTTTATGTACAAACTTCCTTGTACCTAAAACGCTGTCTCAGACAGCGTCTTATTTTCAACCTAAAACGCTGTCCCGGACAGCGTTTCTCTGCTGGTGTGCAAAACAGCAGCAGAATCAGCCTTTTGCCACTGATCTGCCACTTTCTTCTGCCCCCACCCACCACCCCCTGCCATGATTCTTGCCACCACAATCCACCAACAACCCCCACCATCGACCACCATCACCTTGCATAGGAGAGTAGCTATGCAATTGCATCGGCGAAGATGCCACGGTGTTCGATGACGACGGAGCAGGCTGGCCGAACACTGTCACGCGTCCCCCCGCATGTACTGGTGAAGCTATATGAGAACTAAAAGGCAAGTG